GAGTGTTCAGAACAGTTCTACGATGCTAATGGCATCGTGAAGGGATTATTCTGTGGCCTCTAACTTTGACCTTTCTACCAGCTAACAGAGGCAGGAGCAGTCAGGCCTGGGCTGAGCTCCGTGCCAGCGCTTCCAGGCGCGCAAGGACAGTCCTGCCACAGGGCACTGTGGAGCTTCCAGACGCAGCACTGAAGTAAGGGGCAGGGCCAGATAACTCACTCCTTTTAAAAAAATCTCTGAGAACATCATAGCACATACTGTTCACAGTCTAAGTAATGCATTTAACTAGTTTCCTTCAGAAACAAGGACCTACTATGAACTAAGCATTATATGAATATAAAGCATTCATAGAACAAATAGATCCCTGGGCCCCAGGAGCTCATAGTCTAGTATAGGGAAAATGTACAATATGATACATATGAGGAGAACTGTCATAAAATTTCAAAGTCCAAAAAAGCTTAGAGTCATTGTCTAAAGGAATCCACAAAGGCCTAGCATTTTAACTGGGTGCAGAACCTGAACTGGTCTCAAAGGGTGAGCAGCAGCTTGCAATGCCAACAGAGAATGAGAAAGAACCACGGGGTGAATGCGGGAGAGAAGCTGGGTGTGCTGGAAGGGCCAGCGGGCGCCCACAGACACCTCTGCAGCTGGACGGTAACACACGAGCTTGGAAGGAAGGTCGGTCAGATGCTAAAAGGCCTGGAGCATCACATGTTAAGAAGACTGCACTTCATCTGTGCACAGGACAGCGACGAACCATTAAAGGTTTCTGAGGAGAGTGGAGCGATGAGAAAGCTCTCCTGACAGAGAAAGGTCGCTCTAGAGGCTGGGTGGGCAGCAGATTAATAGGTATCTGGGTCTGGGTACATTTGATGGCCCTGAACATTTAACTGCATGGATTTCCTAAACATGAGAAGTGTGATACATTTTAATGCGTTCCTGTCTCTCTATGGCAACTAATCTTAATTATCTCAGAACTCGAAGCTCAAGAAGATATCTCACCTGTTTATCTTCAGAGGGAATGAGTCAAGGGTTTACTGAGTATTAAATGGGCATTTTTATAGGTTTAGGGCTTAATTAAATAGCATTAAATCCATATACAGGTTATTGAAAGTGTAAATACCCAGAATGATAGGGGGGAAAATCTATTTAAAAGTTGCCATGTTGAAGCACTGTTATCGGAAGAACAGAAAACTGTTAAAAACCAACTCATCGTTCCCTGTGTCTCCGTCGGCTTGGGCTGCTGCACCAGACTGGGTGGGTTACAAACAACAGAAATGTTTTTCTCGCAGCTCTGAGTCTGGGAGGAAGGAGAACAGGGCGCTAGCGTGGTTGGCTGAGGCCCTCTTCCAGCAAGCCCCGAGTCACTGTCTGTCCTCACTGTCTTCCCTCCTCCCGACCTCAGGCTCCGTGGGTCCTCGCACGGCAGAGGGGGCTCAGGAGCTCTTGGGGGCCCGTTGTAAGGGCGCTCATCCGGGCCATGAGGCCCCACCCTCACGACCTACCCGCCTGCTGAAGGCCCGCCCCTGCACCTCAGCGCACTGGTCTCCAGGACTTCCCCACAGCACCTGGGTTCCACATGTGCGGTGGGTCAATTCACGTCCTTTGGGTTCTTAGAACATCTTTGCCATCATAAAGCAAGTCTGCAGGGGAAACATGATGCTACCTGCGCCCCTGTCCCTCCACACCTGCCACCTCCATCTCCTCTTCATCCCCCCCCCACCTATACGGGCACACACCCAACACCCAGCACCAGTGTTCTAACCCAAATCTACCACTGCGGTTGAGCTGACATCAAAAGTTTAAAGAAAGTCATCCCCAAAGCACAATAAATCGGGGTAACCACCCAGGACAGCAGGGTCAGAGGAAAAGACAGCAGTCTCAGTGGAGTTGAACAAAAGGGGTGGACCCGGCATCACACACATCAGCATATGCCAATATGCCCCCAGCTGGTCTTCTATCCATTTAGGGACCGGAGCGCCTGCCTGGTGTGTGCCCGGCACTGGCCAGGCACTGGGAATGCTACGAGAAATCAGAGGTGGCCGAGCTCCTCAAGGAACATCTGTCTCTTTAGATGCTCACTGCAATTCCGTGACTGCTTAAGTTGTGCAGAGGAAGCAACTGAGGCTCAGAGATGCTAATGCACTTCAAAACCACGGATCCCCTGTGGGGGTGGGGGGGAGGTGGGTATTGGAATGAGGCACTGAGACCAAGGCGAGCAGTGAGCCTGGAGTCACCGACCCTGAGCATAAACTGGAGAGAGCACATGTCACAAAATAAGTCCCTAAGCCCAGGGGCCAAATTTACCTGCAGGGACCCCCGATGAGGGGGCAGGAAGCCGTGCAGACCATCATGGTCCCCAAAGACCACTCAGCCCTAAAAGCACCCACCTAAGGTAAAGACGCTGGGTGTTCAGGAGACAGTGTCTGCAGTGGCGAAGTGTGCAGCCTCAGAGGCACAAACACGGGATTCGAATCCCAGCTCTACCACTTGATAACTGTGGGTAAGTTCCTTAACCTCATGTGTTAATAATATTTATTGATGATTATTATATTTATTTATTAATAATATTTGTAATAAACACAAGGGGTTGTTGTGAGAATTATGTAGGAGAGAAGGCATGCAATATGCTTAGCGTAGTGCGGGCACTCAGGGAGAAACCACAGAAGTGAGCTGGGACCTCAAACTCAACGAGCCCCGAGTGGAAGCGCCGTCTGTCCTCCCAAACCTGCTGCCTCTGCACCTGGACTCCATCTGCACCACTTCCGGCCACTCATCAAAATCAGGAGGCCTTCTCAATTCTATTTCTCATTCCACCTGGGGGGAAGTTGGGGCTCCTATGACCAGGATCCTCAGTGAACTTAACCCACCTGATGATGTAACTGGCCTGTTGCTAGGCTACCGCTTCCACACCTTCAGGCAATAAGCTATATAGGGAGCCCTGCCCAGGGCTCTGGGTGGAAGCAGAGACTCCAGTGCTTGCTTGACCTACTGCCAGAGAACAAGCCGGGTAATAAACCCTTTCACCCCAAAGAGCGTTTGCTGTCATTTTCTTTGGTCACACTGAATCCATAGTGAACTTGCCCGGGGCTGAAACCCATCAGCAAGACACACCACCCTCCCCCCTTTCTCCGCCACCTTCACCGTCACAGCCAACATTCTTGGGGAATCTCCACATTCAAAGATGATAAGCTAAGGAGACCTTTAATTGGGCAGAAAAGCCATTAGGAGGAAAATACTACCATTATCTCCCTTTGCATTATGGAAATGGAGACCTAGGCTAAGAAACTTGCTCAAGGTCACATAGCCGTCTAGCAAGAGAGCTAAAATTTTATGGACAGTCTATTCCCACACACATATGCTTGAACATTACACTGTACAGCCTCCCAAGCAGCCAGTCACTACCTGCGCCCCATGGATTTTCTAGCCAGCTCCCCTCAGATCTGTTCCCTGCTGCTGCCATGGCCACGGCCTGCTCTGCTAAAGCCCGGACAGCACTGCGGGTTTCAGGACTGGTGGTGCCGCCATCACAGGGGGCTTTGAATGCCAGGCTGATGGCGAATTCGGCCAGCAACTCACAGGAATCTCATCTCTGAGCCTGCAGAAGGGTGTTGCGGAGCAGGGAGCAGCCCTGGCGGGAGGCACTGGACCAAGGAGGGAATGTACATCGGCCTAGGTGTGAGGTGAAGGGGGGCCTGAATCCAGTGGCGGGAGCTGGAGGGAGAAGGCTGGGTGCGACAGACATCACCTCACCAGGCACAAATACTCCCGACGCTGGAGGTTGGTTTAATAGTTCTGTTACTAGGGCAACAGCAAAAAGAATCTACCTTGGAGAAAAGCCAGCGTGGCCCGTCCCTGCGCCGCATGGCAGCTGTCAGTGGGGAGCAGGGAGAAGGCGAGGGGCCGGCCGACACAGCGGACGGGCCAGCCAGGATCCAGGATTTCCTCACAGGCGTTTTTCTGACCTTTCACCCTCTGCAGTTTGGGGAGTGGAGAGGCCTTTGAAGCAAGGTCTCCCGTAAGGAAGACGGCGAGACCCATGAAGCAGAGGCCATTGAAGCCTGTGACCAATTGGCAATCCTGCCTGGTACTTAGACTGACCTGAGGACACCCGGGGGGAGGCAGCTGCCTTCCCACCTCTGCCCTCCCAGGGCTCCTGCGGAGAGGAGTTCAGACAGAGGGCACACCTGGGGACGGAGCAAAAGCCCTGATCACAGTCAGCCTGCGTGGTGATGTGCCCTCCCCCAGCTCGGCATTCCCGGGCCAGGGCTGGGCCTCACAGGGACCCTTTCCAGTCTGTCCCGGGAGTGAGGTTCCGGGAAGATCCTGCCCATGGGAGGGGGCTGTGGGCTCTCATGGGAGGTGCTGAGACGCTCCTTGCAAGGCCTGCAGTAGAGCTTTCTTCTCTGAGCTCCTGGCTTCTCCCCACCCCCCTACCCGTTTTCCCGTTTGTCCTTTCAGGAATGTCATGATGGGGTACCTCTATCGTTCCACTTATCTCTGACAGCCCAGCCTTCCGAACAATGAACTGCCTTTGGGAGACACCAGGAAGCCTTTGAAACTTAGACACATTGTCTCCAGCCTCACTCAGGATGAATTTCCAAATCAAGTGCCAAGTTGGCCCCTCTGCACAGCAGCAGATAGAGAACCCTCTAACACCTGCCTGTAGAACTCAAAGGTTTTACCTGCCACATTACATGTTCTCTTGAACATCTGTCCACAAGGAACACTGAAGGAGAGACAAGACTCAACTTCCTTCCGTCCTCCTCCTGCCCACCATGAGCCTCTGTGAGGCACAGACCCCCCACGCCCACCCAGAGACCGCGGCTTTGACTTTCGGTATCCAACATTGCACTGAAGAGCAGGCCAGGGGGATGGGAACTTGATTATGGAGAGATTTCCTCTGGAGTGGTTCTGTACCGTCAGGGGCATTGATAAGCAAGCAACGGTTTGCCCAGTGGATACAGTACGTTTCGGGTTATCCGGAAAGGAAGTCCTACCTGGGGAATCTGAGCCACCTAGGGCATCAGTGAGCCAACTGCTGCTGGCGCAGCCACTGGTCCTTTGAGTGAGCCTGGGCACGCTGCTTCTCCTTTAGCTTCCTTGCCTGCAAAAGGAAGAAAATTATACAAAATGATCTCAAAGGTGAATTTAAGGATTTAAAGCTGAAAAGTGTCACATGCCTTCTGAAAGACAAGGAACCCCAAGGCATAAAAACATCACATAATAGCAGTGGTTTGATCTGGTCTGAGTCAAAGTACCATTTTGTGCTAGGAGGGGACAACTTACTGCAGCACGTGGCCTGTAAAAAGAAAAAGAGCCTTCTGAGGCATTCACACATGTGGTGGGACCACTTGACAGTAAGGGCTTGTACTCAGGAGGAAACCTTTCTGGACCAAAAGTGACGTCATCACTCACCTGCCCTGTGACTTCGGGCAGAAGGCCCCCCTTAGGGCTTTTCCTTCCTCTGTGAGACGGGGCCATGCTCTGTGCCTCGCTGGGTTGCTGGATCGCATGCCTGGCACAGGGTGGGTGGTGCACGGTAGATGTTGTGTAATGCTAAATCAAACCCTATCTTTATAACCCTGGAAAAGTGGCATTTGTCAGCCCTGTTTTATCAAAAGGAAATTAAAGCCTGCAAAAGATAAAGCACGTGCCCAAAGCCACCCGGTGAGGGCTTCTCATTTCAACTCTCACGTCCGGCAGCACAGTCGTCAGTCCCACATTGAGACCTGCAGAGTCCGTGTCTCCTTCCCAACCAATGGGCGCAGCAAAGTCATGATGTGTGTTTCAGGCATAGTGGCCGCTGCCCATAAGCCCAGCCACAGGGAACAGTACATAGACCTGTGATGAGCTGAAAACGTGCTCCAATCCCCCCAAATGGTACGCAATTTCAAGGCTCCCCGTGGAGACCTGGGAATGAAAGCTGCAGAAATGTATAATGTGGGCCCCGGGGACACAGAGACTGGAGTGAGTCCCTCTGATCCGCCTCTTAAGGGCCAGTCTCCTGAGCAGGGCCTCAGGCAGCCTGAGGGAAAAGACAAAAACAGCTCCTGCCGGCTCTAAAAACAGGCCCAAGGCTCACGTATAGATGGCTTCGTATGTGTATTTGGCCCTTAGGCCCCAACCTTCCCGGCATGTTTTAGGACTTCTTGTCTCTTCCAGGCTGACGACCTTGTTCATTTCACCTGCTTTCCATGGCCCTTGCCCCGAGCCCTGCACCCGCTGAGAGGACCTTGCTGAACATGGCTCAGGCAGTGCCAAAACTCGGGAGTGAACTGGATACCATAAGTGGCTCCTACACCAAAGGCCTTGAAATTTGACATTCTTTATACTCAAGTCCACTAAATTCCCTGCTAGGGGTGCAAAGTACTGATTTAGGTGCCCCTAGGTTGCTGACTCCATTTAAGTCCTGAGTTTAACCCACTAGCAGCTTTAACTTGATAAAATGGCACATGCATTTTGTTCTGCTGTTTTCCTCATGAACAAATTAAATTATGCCTGAATTACTCTGACCTTAGCACTGGTACCCATGCGTGTGGGTGGACTATTTGCTGGCTAAGGTCTACAGGTCACTTACACTGCACCAAGCACTATGTACTTGCTCGAATCTCTGTCCACGAGGACTTGAGTCTTAAAGCTTCCAAACATCTGTCCTCTCCCTGCATAGTCTGGGTCTTGAGGGCACTTTAACCTGGGGAGAGCCCTTAGAGAGCATCTGCCTTGTTTTACAGAAAGGAAATCAAGGCCTTGGGAGTCCAAAGTCTCACTGCTTCCTAGTGAGAAACCGAGCGTCCCCGCTGTGTCCACTTTGCTCTGTGTCACCCTGCCCTCTCCTTTTACACTGTCAGGGGCATGGCCCTCTGTCTTCTGGATCACAAGAGCTGTTTGGAGGCACACCAGTACCTGAGAGGGCTCATTAAACTGGAAGGCAGTGTCTTTATCAGATGCAGCTAAAAATAGAAGCCTGCTCCAGACTAGACTCAGCCGAAGAGGCTGGACTGATCCCAAGGGCTTCTCAGTGTGCTCACTGGACACCCACCTGCGCTGCCGGGTGGGTGGGCACACTGGCCATGCCACCTAAGGGGCAGAGGTGGGCTGAGAAAACAGATGACACACTGAGGGCAATCAGCTGCTGCTGAAGCTGCATGGGCAGCTCACTGGGGAACACAAAGCCTGTTTCTGCAGCCACCGGACAGCTGGGCTGCACGGTGTGATCAGGACTGGGAAGGCTCTCCTCTGAGCCCTCCCCTCGGGGCTCGCTGGGGGGTACCCGAACCCTTCCTGCGGGGTAGGAACTCGGAAGGCCTAAGGGGAGTTGGAAATTAGCTAGTCCACCTCCCGCAATGTATAGATGAGAAAAATAAAGCCCAGAGGCTGTAAACAACTCCACTAAAGAAAAACAGCCTAGTCCAGAACTTTTTCCCAAAGCAGTGTCTTTATCAGATACAGCTAAAAATGCACATGCATTTTGTTCTGTTGTTTTCCTGAAATAATGATATTCCTTGGAAAAAAAATGTTTTCTGTTTGAGATCACGTAGTTTGGGAATGGCTACATCCCCTATTTTCCTTTGTCTTGTCTACTCACCCTAAAAAATACTTACTCATCTCAAAATGAGGAACAGATTCCAGGGATCTAGTCTAACCTGGCAGAGCTGAAACTAGCGTGTGGTATTCAGACTTCAGGACCAAAAAATACACAACTGCCGTAAGCGAAAGGACTGTTCCTTGAGGGGAGCCATTCATGATGCTTTGTTGAAACGGTGATGCTCCAGAGAGCTGCAGTGGCCGTGCCTGTCAATGACCGTCGGGGCGCTTTGTTTATCTACAGCTTTTCTAAGTGAGAGCACGTGCAGTCATGTGACCAAACAAGTGAATCTGGGCCTGAGGCTACTGTCCTGAGAAAGTTCTCCTGCATAAGGAGGCTGGAAGTTAAATGGAGCAACCTGGAGACCCAGGTGCCACGAGGGAAGGAAGAGTGGGAGGGGGAATGGCGTACAAGACAAGGCGGAATGTCAGTAAAATTGCCCCACAAGGCTTGGCAGGCCCGTCAGCCATCAGCTCTCCTCAAAAGGAAACAGACAACACCCACAGGCTGCTCCAAATAAAGCGCACTTGCCACCCTTGACCCAGCCCCCAGAGCAACGACCTTCTCGGAAATTTATTCTTCTCCGTGGATTTCATGTACCAAATTCCTCTCCTGGGCAATCATGTAAGATCTAGGCAGGAGCTTTTTAATTATAAGGAAAGGGGCCTCCCCTATCAATAAAATCCTGCTTCTATTAGTACAACTACCATTCAGGTCATTATTCTAAGTGTTTGAAATTTCTACTTAAATAAGGTCACTTCCAATTTGGTAAACACTCCTCGGTCATCACCTTAATTCACAGCCGGTCACCCCAGGAAGGCTGAGCCAGCAAACACCATTGAGCATTAGCTGACTGGCCGCAGATCCACTCTAGTTTATTAATTTCCCTCTTGGCAGAGAGGCAAGCCACCAGAGACATTCACGCATCACTCATTCGATAAATATTTATTATATACCAGGTGCCAGGCACTGTGCTAAGCTAAATATAGATTTTTGTATTTTATTAATATTCACAGCTGAGTTATATATGAATGTTTTAAGGAATGAACTCCCATCCCCCCCCAAATATGAATTTTAACTCCTGAGATGTTTTTTTTTCATCTCTGCTCATTTTGCCTTCCTCCAGGGAGTGGGCGATATGTCTTAGCTCTTAAGCTTCCAGCCTCTCCACCCCTCCCTCCAGAAGATCACCCCCCATCACCCCTCAAGCCATTGATAAATATAAACTCATACTGGAAGCACGAAAGAGGCACTCATCATTTTTAAAGTTCTAGGAGAAAACAAATGTTAAGAAAGTTCATACTGCATTCAGATATTTTTATACATTTGGGTTTTTAGGGGAGTAGCATATACTTGTTCAAAAGATTTTTTAAATATTAATAGTACACATATGTATTCCAAATGCAGACAGGATCATATGCAAAGTGGGAAAATAGTCTTAAGAGTAATACCTTATCAGAGGAACTCGCCTGGCCTCACTTCAAGGGAGGTTCCCCTTTTCCCATCCTCTCCCAACACCACTAGAAAATGGCACCCATTCGATTCCCAAGGAAAAGAGCCACTCAGAACTGACTTTAAGTGAGTCACTTTGCTCATCAGAAAAAAAAGGGAACTGGGCTGGAGACTTCCATGTTCCTCTGTGGCCTGTGGATTAGGGGCTCCAATCTAACCTAATCCTCTGCTACACCTACACACACACACACACACACACACACACACACACACACACACAC